ACCGGGCAACGAGCTCTGCTGGCGAGACAACGCTACCTTCAGCCCCAGATCCAGCTCCTTGAGAGAGCGCTTGATTTCACTGGTGAGGATGTTCATGCGCTCACATTCCTGGAAGGCAACCACAGCGTACGGTGTCCTCTCCTCCACCTTTGCCATCAGCTCTGCGATGTTAAACTCATCCATCAATTTCTCTAACATCTCTTCCAGAAGAGCTTTCACCTGCATGCCGAAGGGAGAAGAGAGAGGGATGTCAGTGAGTGACCCACTGGGCTTCCTGGGCTGACAGCTGCCTGAGCGCAGGATGAAAATCCACCTGCCAGTTCGTGTCTCCAAAAACACTCCGTGTCAGCTGCGCTGGGCAGGGCACCTTTCAGAGAGCTTACCCCATCCTATTAGAATTCAAATGCTTACAAAAGTTAATGTCAGCTGAGAAGCTTTCCAAATGATGGTTTAAAAATGTCACCGTGACATGTAGCAGTCTCCTTTCTCCTTGGGTGTCAAGCCTGGATTCTCACTCCTCCTAAGGTCAGCTTCAATGCAAAAAGACGGATGGGGCTAGAGCCTCAGCTGAGCCTCAGGACAACTGAGCTCATGAGCTGTTTTTCTGTGGTATATTGACAGAGAGAGGTGATTATGTATCAACTGAATTGTAAGCTGAATTTGGCATGCTGAACTAATAGAGCTGGGGAAACAAAATTACTGGTCATCATCGCAGCTTCATTTGGAAACAGTGCTTTATGGCTCTAAATACTAAACGGGGAAAGCTTCAATGCAACAGGATGTTTCTAGCATCTAAAAAATAAATAAAGTAGTCAAAAACATTTCAGGTTGACAATGAGGCACGAAGCCCCTAATTTTCCTGGGATGAGCTGTATCTCGCAGGTTTATGTGGACTTATGGCAACTTGGTACGGAAATCTCTCACGCAATGCTTTTCTTTACCACTCTGCTGGAACCTGAGCAAGATGACTCCTTCTTGAGGATTTTTCAGGAACACATAATGCACAATTACAAATACATGATTCGATGTGCAAAACCTGGCACAAGTGACGGCTGCCAGCCAGCAGCAGAGGCAGCCCAGGGTCATTTTATTGCCATGCCCACTGATATTCACATTTTGGAGTCTGTGCTCCAATTTCCTCCCATTGCTGCTCTTCCAAACCTTCCACATTCACATTGGTACAAAGAGGTGACAATGTGCAGGCTGTTATTACAACCAGCGAGGTGGCTGAAGTTAAAGCGCGGCTGGAAAAGCTCTTCAGCTGCACCTCAGGTGCAGTATAGAAACATCCTGTAATTTCAAATTCTCCTGCAAATCCCTTTGACTCTGTTTTTTTCATAACAATTACAGCTCTTTTTTTTTTTTGCAATGTGGCCTCAAAAACCTGTGGAAGTAACCGGAATTGTCAGAGACTCAGCAAAAGGACAGGCTCCCAGTTTTCCTGCAAGCTCCCTAAATCCACCTCAGCCAAACCAGGGGCTGGAAATCCTCAAATGGAGGAGCCAAGAGACAGCTCTGAACTCGTGCACATTAGAGGATCAAGGGAAAGGGATACAGTCAGTGCCAGTTATCATAGTATCACAGAATGGTTTGGTTTGGGAGGGACCTTCAACATCACTGAGTCCCACCCCCTGCCCTGGCCAGGGACACCTCCCACTAGCCCAGGTTGCCCAAAGCCTCATCCAGCCTGGCCTTGAACCCCTCCAGGGATGGGGCATCCACAGCTTCTCTGGGCACCCTGGGCCATTGCCTCACCCCCTGCACAGGAAAACATTTCTTCCTCAGATCTCATCTCCATCTCCCCTCTTTCAGCTTCAAACCGTTCCCCCTCGTCCTGTCCCTGCACCCCCTGATCCAGAGCCCCCCCATCTCTCCTGGAGCCCCCTTTCAGCCCCCTTAAGTTACAGCTCAGATAACAAGAGAGATCATGTCCAGAAGAAAATGAGCCGCGGGAGCATCCCCCCAGGCACAATGCCATGCAGAGAGGCAACACTCAGGTTGCTTTCAGGCAGCTTTTTGTCTCAGAGAGATCCCAAAAGCCATGAGGACTGCTGTGATCAGTCTTCTTGGCTGTCACCAGGCGTTTGCAGGGTAGCCGTGCCCTGTGATACCACTGCTGGACCTCTCGCTGATCATTTTGCTTCTCTGTCCAAGGAATTTCATTGTATTTCACGAGCAAAAGGACTGGGAGGGGAGAAGATGTAGTCACACTTGGTATCTTGGAGCATCTCCTTTGGCTTTGCTACCTCTGGCTTATTCCCCTCACCTCAAATTCCAGCATGAATGGAAAATCGAACATTCCCAGTACTTCTCTGAGCCCCTCAGGCAAAGGCAGCAAGTTGCCTCGCTCCACAGCAAGGCAAAGGAAGCGTGTGTGAAACCCCAGGCTTCATACAAGCTTTCTGTTAGCCATTCAATTAATCTGCAAAGCCTGAAACGCAGAGCTGACACCTTAAGACTGCAGAAATTAAAAAGAACTGAGCAAGTGCTGGCTGGTTTCACATCCTGTTATGAATGCTTGGGACAGATTTTAACGAGCTGTGGGTCTGGAGAGGAAGAGCTGAGTTCAGCCCAGTCCACAGGCGTAGCGAAGGAGTTCAGCTGGAAATAAGGAATTACAAGGCCCCTGGGAGCCTGGGGGCTGGGTGGGACCCGGTGGCAGCAGTAAGAGGAGGGCTGAGCTCTGGTGGCACATTGTACCTGGCAGCCGGCGCGCTCAGCGAGCCCATCGGTATGCCAGGCACAGCACAGGGACCGGGACTGGTGGCTCAGAGACAGTGGATGCCACAGAAGGTTTATTTGCAATGTCTTCACAGGGAGATAATGAAGGCACTGCAGTTCAGGGGGTAATTAAAAGCCACTGTCCCATTACTGACAATACTCCAATTACATCCCACCATGGTGATGTTCTGCATATATGAGGCTGGTGGTTTGTTGTAGTTTTACACAACACCACTCACTCACCCTCCCTCCTTCTGGGGATGGGGGAGAGAATTAAAGGGGTGAAGGGAAAAGAGACTTGTGGGGTGAGATAAGAACATTTTAAGAACTAAACTACAATAATATTGGAAATAATAATAATGTTGATAATAAAATACACAAATATACAAATGAGCGACACACAGTGACACTGCTCACCACCTGATGACCAAGGCTCAGCCCATTCCCGGCTAACGATGCCAGAGCAGCGACAGTCCCAAAACCACAATCCTGGAATGGAGATAAGAGCCCGAGTGTCTGAGAGACCGAGACGACCCTGAGAGAGAGGTGACCCAGAGGGAGACAACCTGGAGTAAGAGAGGACTTCTGGACCAATCCTCACCTCTCCCCTGGCCATGCCGTGCATGGGATGGAACAGACCATTGGCCAGTTTGGTCTCAGTCCTAAACCCAAGATCAAATCCTGGGCTGGTCACTGGGGCTGTGCTCCCTCCCAGCTCCTCCTGCCCCTGCAGACACGGGCACAGCAGAGAAGCTGGAAAGTCCTGGACTGTCCTGGCAGCAGCTCTGCCCATCAGTGTGTGATCAGCTTCTCCCGAGCACAAACCCAAACACAGCCTCTCACCAGCTGCTGGGAAGAAAGTTCCCTCTGTCCCAGCCCAAACCAGGACATGGTTTTAGACACTCGGTTAGCATCCAGCAAAGGCAGACCATGCTATAATAAGCAGCTGGGAGACAAACCTGAGCTAGACAGGACTACTCATGAATGAGACAGGTAGCAAATTCAACAGCTCCTTCCTCTGCCACTCTCACCGTTTCTTCCCTGGTCACCACTCCTCCTTCGCCCAGGCTGCTGTCCCGGGGCTGCATCTCCAACACCGTGCGGAAGAGCTTCTCCGAGGCCTGGGTAAGGAAGCCAATCTCGGCGTTGGGATGGAGGCCATACAGATAAGGAGACTCGGGAGGCAAGGCATCGTCTATGTACTGCACAGAGAAATCCAGGTTCAGGTTAGATGCGGAGTCCAGGGCACCTTTCTCTGCAGAGTTCAGGGCTCTGGAATTATCACCCAGATGAGTAAGTAAACCCAGGCTGATATAATTCTGCTTGTGGCTGAAGCACCAGCAAACTGATGGGAGAAAGGAGCGTACAGTTGTTTACAGAACTGCTTCTGGTCCTGCTGTGAAAATTTAGTAATTGCTGAAGTTTGGCTTGGCTACAGATCTCAGGCCTGGACCTTCTCTAGCAATTATCTGCTGTGCATTTCAGCCTCAATATCCTGAAATCTCTTCTGGGAATTTAGCTTCCAGTAGTTAAGTTTTATGAACAAAAACAGCCTAATACACCTATCTGCTACCGCACTTGTGTACAAAGAACAGATGAGATCAGTAAGTACATCAACAAAACCCTTCGGTGTTTCTCATCAAAACTGATGATAAAAGGAGCTTGAAAGGGCCATTTGAGCAAACAGTATCTGGATGTAATTTTCCAGGAGCCCCGTTCAAGTCTCAAGAACCAATACAGTTGTTCTATTCATGCATGAACAGAATGAGCCCATGATGAAGTAGCAAATTACCGTTAGGCTTGGTTCATTCAAGGGAATGCTGAAGCGTCTGCAGAAACAAAACATAATGGGAAATAACGGGAGGTGCGGCGAAACACTACAGTCCTATTCACTGCCTCCTAAGACAGATTATAGGGCAGTTATGGAAGACATTACATTTATGTGTATAAATAATGCCAGAAAACAAAGAGCTTACCTGATGATAGCCATTATAGTCCATGTTCCCTGGGAGGGGGAATCCTGGAGCAAGAAGGAGTTCTCCCTCCAGCATTTCTGGCTTAATAAATTCTTCCAAATAGGTTTTGCAAAGCCGCCTGTCCCAGTCATCTGTAATGTGACCTCCGTACATAATCTCACCAAAGAGGTAGCGTAAATCATCATATGGGACCTGAGGAATGAACCAGGGGGGCATGAAGGAGCCCAGCCAGCCAGAGCTCCAGCAGCCACGTGGCTGAGCCGCAGGCTACAGCACTGAGCACTCATCTGCACAGCGAGTGCTCCCACTTCACTACTGCAGTTTTCTAAGTAAACAAACATTAGGTAGCACTTAAATCCTGCCCAAGGAAAACTGGATCACGGCATAGATTTCGTGCAATTTCCCACTGAAATGCAAATTTCTTCTGAGCTCTGTTAAACCGAAGACCACTATGTATTTTCAATGAACAAACACCATGGGCACTATTAGCTGTGATTTGTAAGCTGCTACAGATGTGAGTGGTGCTGAAACTTCACATCTCCCCACAAAGGTATACCAAGCTGAGAAGTTATAAAACCAAAGATATCAAGGAAATGGCATTTAAGGAGGCTTCCTGGGAATTTCAGCACAAGCCATTCCATTGCTGGTGGTTAAAAGCCACCAAACAGCCCACCTGTGATCCACGCACCTTTGCGCTGGCCTCCAGGTAATTATACAGCACGTTCACAGAGATCGTGAGGTCTCCAGTGTTGAAGGGGTAGGAACAGTTCCAGCCTTGGGGGCCAAACTTGCGCCTTTCTGCCACCACGGCATGGAAATAGCAGAGGGCAAAGAGGATGCTCTTGAACTCATTCTCGCGGGTGCACATCTCCAGGGTATCCTGCAAGACAGGCAGAGAGGCAGGGCTGTGTCAGTCCACACTGCTCTCGGTCTCAGCAACATTCAGGGCCTCCCAAATCCACCAGACTTTGGACAGGAGTGAATTATTTGACCAATCAGTTCATTTGTGTGTGATATACATAGTCAATAATTCTCTAAGTTAGTGGTTTTGTACTGTAAATTTATCAGCAAATTCTGATGCAGATTTTCCAAATTATGATTTTCTTTTCCAACTCAAAGTGAGTCTGCACAGGAACACATGCCAACAAGCCCAGGAGGGTCGGAAACATGCACCCACCCAACACTCCATCACCTGCCCGTGCCCTGCATCCCACAGCAGCGAGATGGAGAGAGGCATCACACGGGGCAAGCGCCTGGGACTGCGGTCCTGGCAAGGGTCCCGCTGAGGAGGACTGTATTGAAAGAGCTAAAGTTCATCCTGCCCCTTGGGGACAAAAAGTTTCCTTGGGGCAGCATTCCTCTGAGCTGCAGGGCTGCAGCAGCAGGGGTTTGACCTGGAAAGGCTGCGCTCCCCCGCTGCCGTGCCCCTCTCTGCACAAAGCCAGCCTGGCTGCGTGCCACAGCAGCGTGTTTGCTGGCAGCACGACCTTGCACCGCACACCAGAGCAGAGATGGGAGAAGCTGCTAAAAATCCAAGCAGGGGAGATCAAACCCCCCCCAAAAAAAAAAAAAAAAAATCTAATGCAGCCCTCTAAAGCCAGAATGGCAATGGGTGCTTCCTTTCCCAACTTCCAAGAGATGTTTAAAGTTTGAATATCTACAAGCAGAATCGTGATGTTGGAGGTGGAGGGGCAGGAGCCTGAGTCATTTAATCAATAAAAATGAACAAAGGGAACTGGTCTCCAAAGAGCCCTGAAGGTGCTGGGAGTGATGGCTCACAGGCAGGCGCCAAGGGGCAGCCTGGGCAGTGGTGCCCGTTCCCAGCAGAGAGAACACCGGTGGCACAGCGGAGCAGGGCAGCAGGAGGGATGAAGGGTTGGAGCCGTGTGCATGGCCTGAGGCTGAAGCTCAGCTCTTAGTGGGGAAGCTGAACCCCCTTTCTGTGGCTGAAGCCAGGCAGAGGCTTGGAAAGCTCTGGCCATCGCTGTGTGTTGGCAGGAGCGGTGCGACTGAGCAGCGGATCCCCTGCCCCATGGCAGGGACCCGATGGGATGCCTCACGGCCAGCAGTACAGATCTCCCCAGGCCTGGGAGATGAACATGGTGGGCAGGGCTTGCCTGCACTTCCACCCACATCTGTTCAAACCCACCCCTGGAGCAGCACATCCGTACGGGGGCTCTGATCTGCACAGCGGAGCAAGCAGCCGATCCAGGAGGGAGCAGCTGTACCAGCCCCTCCATCCTCCCTTCCCAGGGACAGCCCCTCTCAGTCCACTCTGCTGTGTGACAAGGACTACAAAGGGTGACTGTGTGCCTTCCCTTCATTGTCTTGATCTTAAAAAAATATAATGTTAGACCTTTAATCAGCTGGGGAGCAGAACAGAGCTCAGAGTCTGGGCTAAAAAGGGGGAATCCAGTGGACTAACTGCATAAGATGATCAAGAAGATCCCAAACCCCTTGATAAGACAGCACTCTCAGCTCTCTTCATTATCAGCAACCTGGTGAAGAACTGGTTCAAACATGTCCTGAGCACCTTTCTCATTTCAGAAAATGCCCCTGGACTTCAAGGGGAGCTTGCCAGCTCGGTCTCATTCGCCCTCTCTATTTAGTTGTGCATTTTTTTTCAGCTACAAAGCAGAACAATATCCCCCACACAGAATAATGGGCCTTTTTTGTGGCTTTCAGCTGAAAGCTAAATTTGAACATCCATTCTGTACAAAGCAGGGAAATGAGGTGTAAAAGGGGCCCCACCCACTTGCTCCAGGATTTCTGATAAGAGACATTTTATAATACTCCAGCAACTTAGAAAATGCTAATTACAATCTGATTGAAATGAACAGAGGCAGGATGGAAATGTTGCTTGGGGTGAAGGTTTTCCCCTCGCTTGCTCTCCAGGATGTTTTGTGGAGTTGGAGATGATGAATGACAGTAGATAAAAATGGAATAATCTTCCCTGACTACTCGCATTAATCCTTGCGTGGTGCCTCCCTGCCCCACCTGCTCAGCAACGCTCACTCCTGCACTCGAGATTCCCTCCATACCAGCACCTAAATGCAAAAACAGTTGTGAGCTGCTCCCATTTCCCTTCCCCATGGACCAGTGCCTGGGGTCCACAATGGGCTGGGGTTGCCCCTGCCTGCTCCCAAATGACAAGATACTGTTTGAAAGAGCAATCCTGCAAGATTTGCCTGGCGTGTCACTGGCAGAACGGAGAGGCCATACTAGCTTCAGCGATACAAAAAGGCAGTCTGAGAAATGAAAGCACCTTCAGGCCCCTCTGGCTGCTCTGGGTTTGACAGTCAGGGTCTTGCTGCGAGAGCTCAGCATGCCCAGGTGCTGATGATGTGCAGGGGCTGGGTGTGCAGGGCAGCAGAACGCACTGGTCTGTGTCTCTAGGAAAGAGATCATCATCAACGCGAGCGGTTAGCCCTTAGCCTTTTGTGTCATGTGGAAAATGGGGTCAGCAGAAGCCTGGCCGCCTCCAGCAGCGAGACAGACGAGGCTGCAGCATGCCTGGACGCACAGGCTGGTCCCTGGGGAGCCCTGGTCCCCAGCCCTGCCCTGCTGCTCCCGGCAGTGCCCAGCGCCGCCCAGCAAGGCCACAGAGCCAGCTCACCCCAGCACTGCGCTACAACGCCACTAACATCGGTCCCTGCTCTCTGCAGCACCAAGGACATAAAACCTCCCATTATTTCCACACTCTTTGCTTTCGTGTCCCCTGCACAGGAGACTCAGAGGCAGTTCCAGCAGCAAAGGGACGGTGGCTGCTGCAGCAGGAGCGCGTGTGTGGTCACCACTCAATAACAGCAACGAGCAACCTGTCATCGGCTGTTCTTCTCATGGGCCAGCACTTCTCAAGACAGCCTACTTTACCCTTGTCTGGCAAGGCGAGTGCTCCCTGCAGGGAGATTTCAGCTCTAATTTACACCACTTCTGATCTCAGCCAGGTTCTGAGCTGAGGGGCCTTTGGGCACACAACGCCAAGTTCCCCTACGCTGCTCTGGAGTGATGTGGGATGGACTGTATCCACGGCTCTGACCCTCTAACTCGGGTTAAACAGAAGGGCAAAAAGGCAAGGGAAGGTTTAACCTGCCCGCCTCTCCGTGTCTTCGGGTGCTAGATGGAGTGTGTCACTTGTCAGCCCAAAAAGGAGTGACACGGACACAGAAATCAAGTCGAAACATGACAAGAAGTTGGATTCTGTAACAAAACAGCCTTTCTGAGGATCATATGTTGTCGAGACTATGATTAAACTGGGCAGAAGTCTGGTATCCTGGGACCTCTTGCAAGACAGGGGCCATTCAGGATTACCCGGGTCCTCTCTTGGGAAAACCATTGCTTGGAAAGGGACCTGTGCCCAGCTCCTGGAGGGGGTTGTTGGATCAAGAGACTACATGATGCAAAGGGACTTGCACGTCTGCTGCCCTGGGGGTTGCAGTGCTCACACCCATCATGCTCTGCACGGGCTCCCAGCAGCTCCCAGTCCACCCATCGGCCAGTCGCCAGCGTAAGTCCCGCCACGCTCCTACCTGGTTGAAGTTGTCAAGGGCTTTGTGCAGGTTTGCGTGCATCCCGGTCGGGGCCTCGTTGGTGATTTTGATGGAGTTCTCCAGGATGCCCTGGGGAATGATGTGGCTGTCAGGGGAAGGTGCCGGCTCTGCGCTAATGAAGACACGGAAATCCTGGTGGCTGCCCTCACTGTGCTGCTCCAGCTTCTTCTCCAGAGATCTCAGCCACTTGGCCACCAGGTGGATGTTCTGGCGGGGACAAAGGGGACAAGGCTTCGTCAGTGTCCCCTCCATTTACACCCACGATGAGCAGCCACCAAATCCATCACACCAATGAACAGCACCTGCCAAGGCTACGCTCTAGAATTTGGTCCTTGTCCAAGCAGTGCCTGTGTGCCATTCCCAGCCCCAAATATCCAGTTACATCAAGTACACTGTTAAATTCAAAATATTCCATATAAATCATCAGCAATGAAGCAAGCCGCTATTGGGTTGTTTGTGTTCTTGGTGACGATGCTCTCCTTCTTGCTACAGTGACGTAGGGTTGCCAAAATGGAGTTATTTCCCTAGATCTACCAAGCTCAAATGAAAAGGTTTGTTCATTTTTAACAGAATAGCAGTGAGGACACTCAATACCCTACTACCGGGAAAAAACATCCAACAGGTGGTTTTACAAAGACCTTTAACATAAAATATTTATTTATTCATGCAACTAATTTGACGTATCTGTCGGAAAATTAAGCAGTATTACGCAGAGATTCCGGAATAGATGAAGACAAGCCTCAGTTTTTCAGCTGGAGTCTTATTCATTGTACTTTCCAGGTGAGAAAACAGCTTTTTTATATTAGGAATGCAGCAGGTCACATATTCCAGGGATTCATGGGCTAAAACTACCCTCATTTTAAAGTCAGGTACGTAACCCGAGCTGACTGTGGTAACAGGCACTCTGGAAGATGATTTATCCCATCCAAAGACAGGACAAGGAACTTGCTAAACTTAAATTAAAAGCAGCCGCCAAGAAGACAAACTACCTGCAGGTGGCAAGGTAATTACATAAAGGAACCATATTAGAGGCTTAGAATAAATATATATCACCCATAAAAAGGACCAGAAAGGAGCTCTTTTGGTTAAATAGTAGAGTAATGGAAACTATTAGGAGTAAAATTACATTCTTCAGAAAGTGGAAATTGTGTCCAAGTGAGAAAAACAGCAAACAGCACAAAATCCAGTCATGGTAAGGCCAAAAAGGGTTTTAAGAAGCAATATTCTGAAAACCATAAAAAATAATAACAAAGCCTTTTCCAGAAGCCAGAAACCTACCAGAAAGCCTATAAAATTCAAAGATGACCAGGGTGTACAGACAGTGCCCAAGAAAGGGAAGGCCACCACTAAATGGCTCATATTTGCAGGAATATTCACTGCAGACCTTAGGGAGGGTCTCACCGTTACAGCCTGTGTTACATGGTGGTATCACTCAAACGCTGAGGCTGGAGACACCTCTGGAGATCATCCATCCAACCCTCCTGCTTGCAGCAGGGTCAGCTTGAGCAGCTTGCTAACTGTATCCAGTTGGGGTTTTGGGGTATCATCTAGGCTGGAGCCTCCACAACCTGTCTGGGCAACTTGTGCCAGTGTTCAACCACCCTCACAGTAAAAAATAAAATAAGTTTAAGGGAAACCTGTATTTCCATTTGTGCCCATTACCTCTTGCTCTTTCACTGGGCACCGCTATGAAGAGTTTGGCTCCATCTTCTGAACTCCCCCTGCCACAAGGTATTTAAATACATGGATAAACCCCTCTGGGCTATTGCTTTTTGATTTTAAATAAAGCCAGCTGTCTCAGCCTCTCCATATGACAGATGTTCCAATCCCTCAATCATTGGAAAGACTCTTAAACTGAAGCAGTAGATTAAGAGTTTTTCAGAAAAAATTGATAAACCAGTAATAGCAATTTCCTGGGACCAGATGGTATCCACCCTAAAGAAACACGGGTATGGAAGCACTGCATTACTCCTCCGTGTGCACTAGGGAAACTGGCAGGGGCTCTAATAAACCATAAATTAATACACAAACAGTATGAGCTAGAGAAAAACAGGAATTTAAAATTTCCAACCCGTTCCAGACAGCTAAAAGGAGGATTCCCCAATCTGAGCTTGTCACCATAAACTCCCTCAGTGGTTGCCAGAAAGGTGAGCTCCAGCCGGCAGCTCAACCACACCGGCTTCAGGCATCGCCCTGGATGCTGCAGTTGCCTCCACGGGGCCAGTGTATCTCCATGCTTGGAGTTAATCAGTATTTATCTCTCAGTTAGCAGCGTTATTACAGATGAGAGGGAAGGTCTTGCAGGCTACCAAGTGGTTAAGACACAGGAACCAGAGGGTGGGAAGCTACGGAATGCTGTGACAGTGGTGGAGTCACCATCCCTGGAGGGGTTCAAGAAACGTGTAGATGTGGTGCTTGGGGACATGGTTTAGGGGGTTAGGTGGTGTTGGTTTGACAGTTGGACTTGATGATCCTTGAGGTCTCTTCCAACCTTTATGATTCTATGACGGAGTTGGAGCTGCTCACCATGTTTAAAAACCACCTCAAGGAGCAAATGATTAGTGAGCTGACAAAATTAGTCATAAGACAAAGTAATTTCAAGGACTGAAAATAAAGCCTACTGATAAAGAACTGCAAAGAATACCATAATTCTACGTGACTGGCAGCAATACGGCAGAAGAAACTCAGTGTTGATAGATGCAAAGCAATGCACACAGAAAAACAACCCTACTATGGATATAAACAATGACGGGTTCTGAATTAGCTGCTACCAGTCAGGGAAGGGATCTCAGAGTCCTTATGGTTATTTCCTGCGAATAACAGTTCAATGCTTAACAACGCGAACACAATCAAATGTCAGCAGAGGAACAGAGAAGAAACCTGCAAACACTACTGTGCTGCTCCACAAATCCATGGTGCCTTCATCTTGAAAACAACACCCGGTTCTCACTTCTCTGGCTCCAAAAGGATGTAGCTTCCACGCAAGGAGACACTACATTGATGTGGACTTGCCCATTCAGAGAGAGGAGATGGAGGTGGAGGGGGTGAGCCAAGAAGAAGAATGGAGGGATGAACAGGGCAGACTGCAAGTTCCAAAAGAATAAGCAGAAGTACATTTTTATACAACACAGAACTAAACTGAATTAATGTTCTTAGGGCTTTGTGGAAGTTGAGAGAATCACAGAATGAAGCTGTCCTTGAATCCACAGAGAGAAACATACACTTGCAGTGTCTAAGCCCCTTTCCCTCAGATTCTGGAGGTGTCTCCTCCCAGGCAGGGACCTGCATCTTGGGCTGCCCCCGTACAGGGCTGTGACAGACCCATGCCACACAGGAACATCATGAGAGCTCCTCATGAGAACACAGAAACCCTCTTCTGGCTTTTCTGTTGGAGATTTCAGGTGCTACTTGTGGAGAGATCCCAGCCAGGACTGGGAAGAGGATGAACAGCTGTGGAAAAGGCCAAGCTCAGGCCCTTCAGGCATGGATGGGGACAGGGTGGTGGCTGCTGTAGGAGGCTATCAGCAGCACTCGCAAATGCTGGAGGGATGGGTCAGCACACAAAGATGGACCAAGAGGCAGGGAGGACCAGCCGGTGATCCATCTGTCCAGAGGAGCTGGGGTGGCTCGAGAGAGAAGAGACTGAAGACTCAGTCACATCCAGAAACAGCCCCCTTGGCACATCCCTGACTGTCCTTGCACGCTGCCATGGCCTTGCCAGGTCCTGGCTGCAGAAATCAGTGTCGCCCCTCACCTCTGTAGAGGGATCCTGCCAAGAATCGGTGTGTTTACATTTGGTATCTCAACTATACCTTTCTTTTCCCTATTTCTATATGCAGTTCTCACAGTGAAGGCTGACTTCTAAATTCCTCATAGTGACAGCGACGTATGTAGATTCGAGTCTTGGCTCTGCAAACACCACCCAGCCTCTGGACTGGGCACAGACCTCCTTCAGAGAGTAACTCCCCTCTCAAGTGTCGCAAAGCAAGAGGGCTAGGCTGTTGGTTGCACAAGCATGACTCCAGTACAAGTTGCCTTCACAATGGTTTTATGCTTCTGGATCCATACCAGTTCTCAAGGGTACTGGATAAGGGATGTCTGAGCACAGATCTCTGTGGCTGAACCAGTCATCCCACTGGAGCATCATGGAGAAGATAGGTCATCTTAGCCTAAACCAGATGCGTGCAGTACATCCGATGGATTGCACTGGTGGAAGCACCCAGATCTCCTCTGGCCTGGAAAAGGAGCTGCGGTGGCTGGGGCAGAGGGAGTCAGAGGGGAGGAGCGGTGCTTTCAGAAGCCTTCCAGCAATACGGGAGATACACAACCCTCACTGGTTTCAGGAGTGTGAGAAAGTAACACAGCAATTGTAGAACTGTGTTTTCAAGACTGTAACATCTTCCAAAAATGGCACTTAACCTATTTCCATTTTCTTCCCCTCTATGGAGCTGGGTACCAATTGTACCGAGAACTCAGGAGAAGCTCCTGTGTTTCTGTCTCCTTGCCCAAGACCTCTGCATTTGAGATGTAAATACCACTCTCTCTGCTGCTTGGTAACTCCAATATTGCCCTCTTCTGCACGAGATTTTATGGAGCTGTCTTGATGCCCTGAGTCAACTGAACTAGACATCTCCTGTCCGAGGCCAAGGGTCCGTCTCTGAGATGGCAGTGCCTTCAGAAACATGAGTCAAGAGAATTACCATCTGGGGAAGCCATGGACACCTTGCACCCTCCAGTCCTGTTGCTCCAGATCTGATGCACATGGCTGAGAACATTTCTTATTTAGAATTGCATCAATTCAGTCTCCTTCCCCAAAAGGATTTAGTTGTGCTCACATTACATGGATGAAATGGAGTTTGGGGTGTGGGGGGAGACAAGGAGGAGAGACCTGAGCAAAGGAATCGTGTTCTGGGGAAGCGTTACTTTGGCGTAAATTATGATTGTGAGAAAAGCAGTAGACAAAATGCAATTTGAGTGCTGGTGCACCAGCGCTTGCCTGATGCATTTAGGATTTCAAGAGATGATCTAGTCGCCAGGGTCCAGGCAACCAACTCACTCTAAAAGCACAAGTCCAATAATAAAGTAGGAGTGACCAAAACCTGTAACCAAAGTGTTTCAAACAGCCACGGAGATTTAGTAAAATAGGGCCAGAGCTCAACAAAATTAGCAAAAGAAAAATTGTGTGCTAAGTATTGGTTTAATCATAG